AAATGATTATTTAATTTTAAAAAATGGATGGTTCCTAGGTTTTAGCTATCAAAAATCCACAAAATGATGTACAATGAGCTTGTATGCCAAACAGCTAACTTAAGAAGTATGTTTGTTTGATGTGTCTTTCAGGAAAATCAAGACGTGGATAAAATGCCTAAACTGACCGTAATCAAACCAAAAGCAAGCAGACTCACTGCCACCGAGAGGACTCTGACTCACGGGATTCCTCCGCAAGGCTTTGAGACTGTGAATCTCTAAGGGATCCCTCCGCAAGGCTGTGAGACAGTGAATCTTTAAGGGATCCCTCCGCAGGGCTTTGAGACTGTGAATCTGTAAGGGATCCCTCCGCAGGGCTTTGAGACTGTGTGAATCTTTAAGGAATCCGACAGCCTTACCTTTCTCTCACAGAACATCTGGGGGGTTGAAAGGCCTACCCGACAGCAGCCCAGCACCTAAGCAATTCCAAATCTGCAAAAACAGTAATTCAGCATCAGATTGCACTGTATCAAAACGAGGGCTGAAATGGATAGAAATGGCCAGTCCTCAAGGTCAAAGAGTGGAACCCAGAAGAGACAGACATCAGCATAGTCGCGCGAACACGGGTGTGACATAAGCACGGAAGGAAGGTGGCCAGGGACTTGTTTAGAATGAACGAGGCTGGCTCCACATAGAGGTAGGTAATCCCTGAGACCTCTAACTAGGATTTTCATTAAAATGAAAAACAACTTTTCACAAAAAGCAGTTTTTAGTGTTGCCATAACAGATAATCCACAAGTTGGGTACCTTGATAGGCAAACTCTTTCTCATAGTTTGGAGGGTAGAAGTCAGAGTTCAGTGCACTTGCATGAGGGAGGCTCTCTACTGGCTCTAAGGGAAGGTCTTTGCTTATTTTCAAGCCCTGCCCTACATTCCTCAGCATCTCTCTCTCTCCCCATCTGCTTCCGTGCTTCTGTGCCAAATCTGATCAGTCAAGGTCTCCACAGTCAGAAGGGCAACCAAGTTTGCTGGTCAGGACAAGACAGGTGAGAGACGCTGGTGATGGAACCCACCCGTGTGGGTGCGGTATAAACAACAACAACACAAGCAAACATTGGAGGTGGAGATTGAAAGAAAAGAAAATGGAGGAGATTAAGAACCTCAGTCTCAGGGGAAACAAACCACAGAACTCTCAAAATGTAGGTTTCAAACATGAGAGACTCCGACAAGCGGTAGAAACAGCAAAGAGTCTATCTGCCTGGAAGCCAGACAAAAGAATTTGGACAGTAGGAGGCTGGAGGCAGTACAAAACAGCAACATCAAATTGCTTTGATGCTAATCCGAGTAATTGAGGCAGGGGTTCCAATTCTTTGGATTCTAGCCTAGAACATGGAAGAGACCGGCGGAGAACTTCCTGGCCAAGAACTCCTTTTCATCCTAAACTTGCAGGTTCATGTTTATTTGCAGCCACCTCGCTCAGGGTCTGGCATTACCTTTCACGTCCTCAGTCATGCCGGTGGGGCCCGGCAATCCCTAGGGAGTATCTGGGGAACAATGACACCTACTGTTTGCCACAGTAGCTGCAATACACTTGCCATGTGGGACGCAACAGGTGTAGATTTGTAGGCATTATTTCTTTCCTTTGCAAGAGAGAGACGAAAGGCCCTGTGCTGAGCTAGCTTAGGTTGGAGAAGCACTGAAATCAGAGAAGACGGAGTTCTGAACACAGAAGCTATTTAATCTAGAATGAGGATCTAGGAGTGTGTGTCTATTTATGACAACCCTACCTCTGTACTGAAAGGCTTGAAGGCAAATGAAATGCACAATAGACCAATGTGTGCTGCAGCCAAGACTGGTCAAAGTGAATCTCAAATGACAGAAGCGGACGTGCTACAAGGTGGAAAAATGGAGCCAGAGGAGGAGTGAATGTTCTATCTGGTTCCCTGCACCCCAGACTCTTTCTCTGGCAAGGCGAGGTCCTGGGACTCCCACTGGTGCAAACCAGCCTCTCCACTGCTCTCTCTCCAGCCACGACCCCAGGTGCAGACTCTGCCTGATTGCCCTCGGCAATTCATCTTGTTTGATGCCTGCATTCCCATACTGGATCCCGCTCCGGTCTCCCTATCCTGAGTTCTTCATGGATCTCCCATTTCTCCCGTGAGCCTAGAAGCCCTGCTTTGCTCTAGGCCTCTCTTGGCTCTGACATCTTCTTGTCAATCTTTCCACCCTTAGACTTGCAGCCACTGTGCTTTGCCATTTTATTCATACTGGACCTTCCAGAACCAAGAGCCAGACTGACCAGTTATCCTATCCTCATCGACTCTGGATTCCATTGCTTCTGCCTGGCTGCTTGGGGGTGGAGTGGGGGGCGGGGTCCAGCTCTGGCACCTATCATCTTTGGATCAGTCTCCTTCCCCCTCCTGGGAAAAATTTGACCAGTCCCTATTGCCGTGAGCACAATATATAGAATTCATTACTCAATATTCCTGTTCAGGAAACAGACCACTTGGAAACTACTAATCAATTTTTCAAAGCCACTCTTTACTTCATATGAGGTATCTCCTCTGAATTTAAATTTTCCTTATCTGGGAAGAATGTCTGCACGCAACTTCTGCTTTCTCTGAAATTTTGAACTCTATTATACATTTGGCTAGTGTGTGCAGTATGTAAGGAGCCCTGATGGTGTAGTGGTTATCCATTGGACTCTAATCGCAAAGCCAGCAGTTCAAAACCATCAGTCGCTCCACAGGAGAAAGATGAGGCTTTCTGTCTACTCCCATGACCAGTTACAGTCTGGAAAATTCACAGGGCATTTCTACCCTGTCCTCTAGGGTTGGTGCTACGAGTCCACATGGACCAGACGGCAGTGAGTAGGTGAGAGAGTACAGTATGTACACTTCTTCTCTCCTCCGCCCCCCAACCCACCGCTCTTCGTTTTCTGATTTTAACATTGAACCGGTCATACATTCTAGTAAGAGTTCAGTAAATATGTTATTACTTTTCTCTCATCTTTCTATCTGCAAACCCAGAATTTATTTTTAAAGATTACATTAATTAATCAAGTCTTACAGTGCAGGTAATTACAAAACTTGCTACACTGAAACACAAACCTATACATTTATTCTTCTCCACTCAGCTTTTCAGATAATCATCAGAATAAAAATTAATTACTATCTAAAACAGATTAAAGCAGCAGTTCTCAACCTGTGGGTCACGACGCCTTTGGGAGTCAATTGACCCTTTCACAGGGGTCACCCGATTCATAACAGTAGCACAATTGTAGTTATGAAGTTGCAACAAAAATAATTTTATGGTTGGGGGGGTCACCACAACATGAGGAACTGTATTAAAGAGTCGCAGCATTAGGAAAGTTGAGAACCACTGGACTAAAGGGACCCAGAACAATAAAAATATTAGAGACAGAGGAATTGTTCCCATTAGTTGGTATGATCCAGTGCTCCCATCTCTGGTCAAACTTATTTTTCACTCGTACCTAATAATTTGTTTGATACTACTATTTGCACTTAGATGATGGATGCCAGCGTCACTATGTATTCAGCAACAACATCCTCATGTGTTCACTGTAATTGCATGGCTAAGGTCGTCTATGAACCAGAATATGCTGATTCACTTGGCTGAAACCCAGGGTGAATAACATGAACAAAAGTGTTGTCTCAAATGGAAACCTCAAATGTTCCCTCTTTAGCCACACAAGAATTATTCAATGCGCGTCAAGTCACTAAGGGGCAGAACATACTGCAAAGCAGTTCCCTGTTTAAGTCTGAAGTCCTAAGAGACACCTTCAAAGGACTAGTGTTTGAAAATAAAGTCTGCAGCTGACTCTGGACCATCGCAACAAAGCAGATTCAACAATTCAGTAAACAGATTAGGTACTACATTTTATACCCTGCCATTTCTTTGCTTTAAAGTAGTAGATTGTAAAGTTGGGGAAATGCTAATACAAAACACCTCAGCATTGTTTGCCTTAATTTACACGGTTATATCATTTTGAAATTTATTGTCTGCACTTCTGAAGTGGTTAGGTATTATGGAAAGACATGCAATAAGAAAAACTTAATGCCAGGTTACATCTAAATCAGATGTATTATTCTTTGAAAAACCATACCAGTGCATAACCTTTAAGTCAGTGGAGAAGTAAGACATTGAGAAATATGATCTCACCTAATAGCTATCTGAATTCTATAAACTTCACTGCTTTAACACCTGCCACTTTAATTTTATAGGTATTAGATAAAAACAATATTCAACTCTACAAACTTGCTAACTATTTAGTTCCATAGTCTTATTACCCAATAGAAATGATCTAACCAAACCCAAGCCTTCCTCAGTGACTGAGTAGCCTCCCTCCTTCCCTCATGGGTATAGAGGGTCTTAGTTTAGGCTGGAGCCTAATCATTGATAATGAAATTTCAAATGGCTACCCTGACCTTTGTGAAGAATAATTTTTCTAAACTCCCTTCTAAAAAGCAACCCCCAAACCCTTACTTCTTAGTCTTTTCAATGATGTTATTTTTTGAAGCCTTTTTAAACTAAAGAGGGGAAATAGAACATGAACAATACGCTGCGAGGCTCTAGTAAGTTTAATCTAGCCACAGTATAAAATATCCTACGGAAAAGATTCAAATAAACAAACAAAACTCCAAGAATCCTTACCCCTCCCCCATTGCCCTGTAATGGACCAACAAAAATCAAATAAATACCTCAAATAGAAAGGAGACATAGGTCTTTCATCGTCCTGTGAACTAAAAGGAAAATGAATTTCAAATTAATGTACATTTCCGTTACTAACAAAACTGGTAAACTTTACTAAAGCTTTTCTCTACCTGTCACCAATGCTGCTCTGACACCTTACAGCTCACGTCCCCAGGAGTCAGGGGATAACACCCACTCTAGTGGCCGTGCTCACCTCAAGCCCAATTACCGTCTTCAAGGGAGACCAGCGAGAGAAGGTGCTTTCAAGCTGAGGCCCGCGGCAGAATAACTCTGTCATCTCACTTTGAGAAAAAGCTTTATATGACCTTCTCTGACAGCAAGCCCAGTCCAACTCAGCGTCTCTTGCACATTGAGCCTTAGGTGATTGCGACTCAGTTATCGCAATAAAACGAATTGCAGTCATTAACATGATGATGAAAGGAAGTAACAGCCAACAAGTATCCCAGTTAAGTGAGAACTACTTAAGGAGACCCAACACTCTGTCTTGGGTAGTTACTCTGAACCCTGATCCACACCCACTGCCTTTGCGTCCATTCGGACTGGTGGCAAAGCAGGCCTGCCTCCATGAATTATTAGCCAGGCTGGATAGCAGGGAGGAAATGAGGAGAGTATAAAAACAGCTCCTCAAGCAACAGAGCAGCAATACGAAATATCAGATAGAGTTATGTAATATGTAAAAATGTAAAATAGATACTAAAATATCCCCCTTTTCTGTAACATATTTTTTATCCTGAAAAATGAACTCAAAGTATAGAATTATTATCAGCTACTTAATTTCTACAGAAGTGGTCTTTGAACTTATTTGATTATACACTCTTATAAAATGTGCCTATAAACAGCCACTCCCCTCAAATATACTCATGTGACTTATAAAGTACTATCTATATTGACTGTATGCATGATTGAGCAGATGAAATAGCAATGTAAAACTACTAGATAAATTAAACAGAAACTCAAAAACTTACTGCCGTCGAGTTTATTTTGACTCATAGCGACCTTACGGCAGGTCTCTGTGGGTTTCTGAGGATATAAATCTTTATAAGAGTGGAAACTTCCTCTTGCTCCAACAGTACAGCTGGTGGGTTCGAACTGCTGATCTGTTGGTTAGTAGCCCAAAGCCCAACACATCACACCACTGTGCCATATTCTTGAGTCTCCACAACCTAGAGGACTTTGTATACCACCTGAAGTACTCTTTTTCCACCATTTGGGGAAGCATCTATTTAATTTCAGCTTTTTCTTTCTTATGTGTGTGTGTGTATTATGAGGGGGTACCCAAAAAACCTGGAATTTTTGTCTAAGCTATATATACACATTTTTTAAAACAAAACAACCTTATCACCTTCAAAATACTCTCCATTACACTTAGATACATTTGTCAAATCTGCAATTGCATTCTTGGAAACATTTTTCAGACTCATCTGTGTGGATGGCTGACAGCACCTCCATTGTTTTTTTTCTTCACCTCTTCTACTTTGTCAAATCACTGTCCTTTCATGTCCGTCTTTGTTCAAAAAAACAAAAAGAAGTCGCATGGAATGAGGTCAGGTGAGTAAGGTGCGTGGGGAAAGAGAGGCATGTTGTTGTTTTCTTTGCCCAAAACTGGTGCACTGAGATGGCTGCAATGAACAAGTGCACTGTCGTGGTTGCAAAACCAGTCCCTTGTCTGCCACAAATCAGGCCTTTTTTGTCACACACTGTTACGGGATCTTTTCAGAACCTCTAAATAGAAAGCCTAATTCACAGTCTGACCTGGTGGAACAATCTCCAAATGCACTATCCTCCTCACATCAAAAAACAAAACAAATGAGCATCATTTTTTTTGGGGGGTACCCCCTCATATATGGGTATATATTGCTTATGCTATAGTCTCGATTATTGATGAAAAAGTTTACTTTAATAGGTTAACCTACATTGCCAATCAATTAAATAGTGTTACCAAAAAAATCAAAACGAAGACAAACAGAAAATTCAAAGAAAACCAGGCATTAGAAAGGTTTTCCATTGTATAACACACCCAAACTAAACCCCTTACCATTGAATCATTACAACTCAGTAACCTTACAGCACATGCAACACAATTTTCTTTCTTTTTAAAAAAAATCATTTTATTAAGGGCTCATACAACTCTTATCACAATCCATACACACATCAGTTGTGTAAAGCGCATTTGTACATTCATTGCCCTCATCATTCTCAAAACATTTGCTCTCCACTTAAGCCCCCAGCATTAGGTCCTCATTTCCCCCCCCTCCCCGCTCCCCCCTCCCTCATAAGCCCTTGATAATTTATAAATGGGTATTTTGTCATATCTTGCCCTGTCCGACGTCTCCCTTCACCCACTTTTCAACAACACAATTTTCTATTGTCTCAGGAATTTGGTTTCTAATGCCCATGTTGCTAAAAAATTTAATGTCATATTTCTACCCATGTGAGAGTAAATAATGGATTTGCTTTTCAAAACTCTAAAGTGGATGAGCTGAGGGCAAAGTGCATGAGTTTGGAGAGTTAGAGGGGACAACACCTGGGGCTTGTCCTGGGCTCCTGGGAAGGCACCACCTGGAGCAGCTCTTTCACAGGTGGTGACAATTTTAAGCCAACCTGCTACAAGTTGTTTGCTCACTTGGTTTCAAAATATTCTGAGAAAACACATAACAAAATGGATTGTAAAAATGTGTACTTGAGTGTTTTCCTAATGAAGGAGTCAGTACCAAAAGAGGATGATGACCACTATGCCCCAAAAGTTGCGACTGAAAATCGGGGAAAAGACCAAGAAGAAGGGACACACTTGAGTTGAGGTACTGCCACAGAGTGCTGCATCTCCTGCAGCCTGCCCCAGCCAGCACACGTGTCCTGGAGGGTGCCCCTCTGAAGTGAGGGAGACAGAGTGGGCCTCCATTTCTTTGGCCATGGCATCAGGAGGGACCAGCCCCTAACAAAGATGTCATGGGTCGTGCAGGGTCACCGAGAAAAAGGAATGGGTACCTGATGACAACAATGGACTCCAGTGTAGTCGTGATGTTGAGAAGGGGACAGAACGGGGGCATGTTTCGCTCGGTTAATGCATGAGGCCTGCCCTGAGTCAGAGCTGACTTATGGAATCTACCGACAAGAACAACAACACTGGGAAAATTGCCTCCATGCGCTGTAAAGTAAGCAATGTACTAAATCTTTTCTTTGCCCAGAACAGAGATTCAACATTAACATAGAATTAACTTGTTAAATTAGAACACTGAATAGAGAAGGCTTAAGGTCATTCAATTAGCAATAGAGTTAATTTTCTTAGGATTTAGACACACTTTCGGGTGACAGTTCCAGGGCACAATGTTCTATCACATTGGGCTTGGCTAATGCTTCCCCTCCCTATCCCATACCTTTCTGAGTAGAACAGCGAGAAATATTCATCCTTCCTTCCTTCCACCCTCCTATATTTACTTCACAATAGGCAAACTTAGTACCCAGTACTCTACATGAAGTATCTCCTTTAGACCTTACAAACCCCCGCAAGGTGCTTTCTCTCCCCGGCCCCACCAATTCTGTTTTTTTTCCCCCCAGTGTGTATACATAATTTATCCGGCACACATACCTAGCTAGTAATGTTCAAATTAGTATATAAACCAAGGGGCCAAGGGGTGCTGTGGATTGGTCTGCTTCCATCAAGAATAACAGTTTTGGAAACCGTGTGTCAGTAGACTCTGCCATATATGACCCTACAGTACAGAGTAGAAGAATATGGAATATTGAAAGTTCTATGGACTGCCAAAGGGACAAGCCCAGCGGTCTTGGAAGATGCACCGCCAAATGCTCCTTTGAGGCAAGGATGTGAAACTTCTTTTATTACATTCTTTGGACATGTCAGGAGAGGCCAGTCCCTGGAGAAGGACATCCTGTCTGGTAACGTCGAGGGAGAGCAAGACGAAGGAGGCTCTCGAGGCGATGAACTGACGCAGGGGCTGCAACAATGGGCCCCGACAGAGGAACAGCTGTGAGGATGGCCGGGACTGGCTGTGGTTGGTTCTGTTGCACATAATGTCACTATGGGTCAGAACCAACTATATGGCCCCTAATAAAATCAACACCAGTGACACAGTGTAGAGTAGAATTGCTCCCGACGGTTTCCTGAACTCTGAAGCTTTACAGAAGCATACTGCTCCATCATTCTCCTGGAGCAGCTGGTGAGTTTGAACTGCTCACCTTTAGGTTAGAGCCCCCCCTACTTAATCCACGCACCACCACTGCTCATATTGTTTTGTATGGGCAATCTATTGTTGTTGCTTGTTTCTTCCCTTTAATTGAAAGCTATCAAAATAGCGTGGAGTAAATATGCCAGTGAAGAATAATTAATGAGATGGCCACTCAGCCCTCAACGGTCTTCAACAAGACCTGTGGACTTTCATATGCTCCATGCCAGCCTTGTGATCAGAGCAACTGGACACCTACCTCAGTCAAAGTCCATTCCTAATGCATTCTGCTTGATAGCACCTTTAATGTTGACTCATTTATTAACGTGCACTGGCAGTAGTCAAGAAAGTCTCTTGATAGAAGCACAAGGTTTGAATCATGAACAGACATTTTTTTAGGCTGTATTTATACAAAATACATTTGTCAATGAGGGGAAAACGCAGAGATTCTTAATTTGCCAATGTCCCTGACTTTTGACTAGTATTAAATATTCTAAGCTCCACAATTTAAATAAACAAAATCAGACAGATTCAACATTAAGAGTTGCTAATCAGGAGCAATAGGGGAGCAATCCATGCATAGCACCCTAGAATAGTAATCAGGGTAAATAAATTAAAGATGGCAGTTAATTAATTAGCAAATGTAATAGGACCTTTGTCTGGGATTTTCATAATGCAATTTTGACAAAGTTGTAAATTCCACAACAGCTAAGGTGCATGGTTTTAAACTGACTTTTTAGGAAAGATAGTCCAAGGCAGTTTTTCAAAATGGAATTAAGAAATGTTCCCACAAAATGTATACATTAGAATGTCAGACATTCTAAAATGTTGACACCATATCCACTTAT